TTAGAGAGTTTTTCTACTATCTTCCACACTATCTTACACGCAAACTCTTATATACAAGTCTAATNAGATACAAGCTTTTTGTAAGTTACAGACGAAAGATAGTGGGAAACAGAGAATTGCAATGAATGGGAAGTCTGTTTATGTGCAACCGTTCGTAGCAGAGTTTATAAATACAAAAATATCTAATTGAATTTGGAGAAGAGTATGATGAAGATTGTCATACTGACTTATCATTAAATACAAGCCATTATTGATGTAATAGCTACACAAGTTGTCTATCCTTTGTTCGATTTTAAAAAGTTGTGAATATGTCTTATATAAGGACATCAATTAAGGCTTCAAATGTAGTCACTATAATCGTTCATTTTCTGCACATCGATGCTGAAAAAAGAGCAAAAGACTGAGCCAAAAATTGTTTTGCTAAAGAAGAAGCCTTTTATACTTGAGTCAAGGTCGAGTAGTGTACCAACTTGAAAGCTTCAGCAATTCTCCAACTGAAAGCCACTCCATATTGAAGAACTTTTACCCAACATGACTCTTGGCTGAAAGACGTTGTAGTTCCTAAGTTATCGGTCAAGTGATTGTTGTGGAATGACAATACTTCAAGATTGGATATGGTTTCCTTTGACTAATTAGGAACAATTCTGTTCCACTCTCAAAGTTGTCCTTTGCAATTCAATATAAATAGAACTCCTGTGTAAATAGTGACTTTCTGAAATAGAAACTTTTTTCTCTGTTTGTCACATGGGTAGATTCATTTAAGATGTCTCTTGTTCTATCGATAATTGAACAAAGTTTTTCATCTTTGCAACCGGGTTACTTTCCCTATCTAAGAGTCGGTGAGTTTTCAGTCTAATTCACTAAAACAGAGTTTGGATATATAGTGTTGTTAGTACTTTTGAGATAGAGTTTGAATTGCAAACCAAAATACTTTTTTTAGTATTTCTTCTTACCTTTGCTATATTTTCTCTTGGATCCAACAAGTTTCATATTTGTAGGAGCCATTCATATGAATTCCAAGGCTAGAAATGCAGTTTGAAAAAAACACATAAAAACGAAAGGAATCTAAACTTTTATCGAATTTCAAGAAGCTAAAACTCTTTTTAAGACCGCAGTGCAGGTTCTCAAGTTAGAGGAAGCCTCAAGTTTTTGCTGCCACTTTTTTCGTTTGGTCTAAAACCGAGGAAAACTCTCTTCTATTCAGTTAACAAAAGATAGGAAGGACAGTCCAAGTGAAATCTACAAACAAACTTTTTCTGTCTCAGTCTTTGAAAATTATAGTAAAAGGAGTTACTAGTCTTTTTTCAACAGACTAGAAAGACAACATAGCAGACAATTGAAGAATGTTTTGAGATATTCTTCGGTAACCACTTTACTAAGTACTTGGAAAAGAAAGGATATTTTTCATTCTAGTTGTATTCAACATGTATGTATGTATAGTCTATTCATTTTGAATCATTGCCAACTCTGCAATATTGCAAAATTGACACCAAAAATAGCCTTCAAATGAAAAGCTTTTAGTTTTGAATTGTGTTAAAAGGTATCTTCGAAATATTTGAAAGATTGCACTAGTGTATTAATCAAATCATTCTCCTGCACACAAGTGCATATCATCAATGTCCAATTTCTATAAGAGTCAACAACTCCTCTTTCTTTCTCCTCTGAAAATACTTGCAGACAATACTGACATTTGATATTGTGGATTCTGCTAAGAGAAAACTTATTTTCAAAAAAGTTCAATTCAGTTCAATTGAGTCTATCCTATCGAATCTCTTCTCGTTTTTCATCATAGCATTTAAATCATAGTTGAATTGTCTCTTCCAAGTAGTCGACTATATAGTTGAGGTGTTTTCGAAGGTAAACATGACTGTTTAGGTTTAAAGGTTTTCACTGCCTTCTCTTTGAACTTTGTAAAAACCACAAATTGTGAACATAGATAAGAAAGCAAACTATATAAAACACAAAGCTGCTTTAGGGCATGAATAACTCCAAGAGAACTCTTATTTCTTCCAGTACGAAGAAAACAAAACTTTTAAAAGCTCTGCAAATTCAAGGAAAGATTTGTTCCGCTGCAGTTGTCTCCTACTCTTTTCCACTCTCTCATCCATCAGTTCGTTGAATAAGTGAGTCATAATACAAAAGTTATTCGTGTTAGACACTAGGCAGAAGACTTTTGCCAAATATAACCTGATGGGTACAATGGTGGAGGCTTCTCCTTAGATATTTGTAACAAGAATCAAAGACAACTCAAAGTTTTGTATAAACAAACTGTCTATAAATACAAAAAACGTTCATTTCCATTTGGGACAAGTCAAACATAAAGAAGAAAAGATATAGTTTTATCCAAATTGCTCTAAAAAGAAGGAAAATGTCTCTTTCAACTTTGTATTATTCAGCAGAATAAAATTGTGCAGAGTCAAATTGATATTGTGATTGTGATTATCCAAACTGGTAAAGGTCTTACTCTCTTAAATATATTGGATAAATTTCGTCTCCTAGTGAAAAGAAAAGAATATAAACGTAGAAATTATGGAAAAATAAGAATCTTTCATTCTCCTCTTTGCAAAGTAAAAAAGAAAGGTGAATCTTGAAACATAAGTGCAAGGAGAAGCAAAAGCATCACCACTTTTACTCTCATACCAGTAAAAACTCTCTAGAAGTTGTTTATGAAGAGAACAAACCAAGACCCTTGTAACTTTGGAGGCTCGATCCTCCTTGACGTACGTAGTTTATGTACGAATTTGTGTATAGACAAAAGTATTCCCAACCTTCGGTCAGTTTTTTACTATCGTCCTGTCCTCTGTATACTTTCCAATTCTACAGTTGAATATACGATTTCGTCTTCTTTATAACTCGTAATCGAACAAAGATTGTTCCTTGAGCGTATTTGCTTGGAAGGGAAGATTATAGTTCTCACAATGCAAGCCAAACAGAGTTAATGTCATTGAAATTAGAAAATGATCGTTTTACACCTTTAAGGAGTTTTCCTAAATTTTGAGTGACCAACAAAGAAAGGTTCTCAGATCGAGAACGAGTCAAAAACTAGTTGTAGCAAAACCGTTCTTGATTTGTTATCAAAATAGGGTCACAAGTAGTTTGAAATTTACCTTGCAGAGACAAGATTGATCAAACTCAACTCTGTTAAAAGGCTACAGTGTCGCTAGGGAGTTGAGAGGACCTTTGATACGACACTGTTCTTCTCGTTTCACAACAATACTGAGATGTGAGATTGATTGTATCTAGCACACTTATTGTTCCAGAAACTTTTTACATATCTCCAAGTGGAATATTTTCTTTCATAAAACTCACTAGTCACTCAAAATAATATATCTCCAGTGAAAGGAGACAATACAAAGCAATCCTTCTCATAACAATCCAATTAGAAATGAACACAATGGTTTGATTGTTGGATAAAGGGGAAGGCTCAGTGAGTGTTGTCAACGCTGTGGACTTGATTCAAGTTTGCTAGTGAAACTTTTCAGACTTTAATTTCTAAAACGAATTCGTCGTTTGTTTTAGTTGGACAAGTGAATTTCTATTATCTACGTTTCTTTTTTAAGCCCTTCAAATGTTTCTTTTAGAACAATCCATCGAGTCCTGAGCTCTGAGTTCCAAGTAGACTGTAGTTTCTTTTTAGTATTTACAACTTTTATTATCTCTTTGGAATTTATATACTTTATGCAACACTTGTTTTTATTTCACTTCTGGTCTTGTATGGAAATTTGAGATTAGCGTTGTCGAGAAGAGAGCAAAGACAGAGGAATTCAAGCTGTCGTTGAGTGTTGGTAGATTAATCAATTAGTTGTCTCACAAGTTTGTTTATTTCTATCGATAATTGTTTCAGAGCAGTTTTGCGTATTTATTAGCAGTTGAAAGTCCTGTAGTCTGTTGTTGAGATTCTGAGAATCAGGCTTGGGGCTATTATTTCAAAGATATTCTACAAGAACAAGAAACCAGTCAGACACTCAGTTGAGTGTTTTGGTCAGTTCACAGATTAACTTTTTGTATGTTAGTTTTTGCCTTCATAT